AAACTGAATCTGCCCTTCGTTGAGTGCATGGAAGTCCTAGGACAAAGTCCATGGACAAATCCTCCCAAGGAGAATCTGGTGTAGGAAGAGGGATATAAAGACTAGTGTTTTGAGACTGACCTTTAGCAGATTGACAAATTGGACACTATCGTACATGGCTGCCAACATCCCTCTTGAGTTGTGCCCAATAATATTGCTTTTCAACCAAGACTATGGTCTTATATCGACCAAGATGTCCACCTAGACCACCACCATGTAATTCATGAATAATCTGCTTACGAAGGGAACTCCTCGGAATACAAAGCTGATTACTATGAAATCCCTCCTGTATATGCATACTCTCAGTAACCTGTCCAGTCTGACACTTAGCCCAGAATTCCTTGAAGTCATCATCTTCCCTATACAACTCCTTCAAACAATCAAAACCCACAACTTCAGCTCGCAAAGTCACCAAGAGTGCTGCTCTTCAGCTAGTGCATCAGCGACTCTGTTTTGCTGGCTTGATTTATGCTTTAATGAGAAGGTAAATCGCTGTAGAAAAGAAACCCATCTGGCATGCATCCTGTTAATATTATTCTGACAGTTGATGAACTTCAAAGCCTGATGATCAGTGTAAATAACAAACTCTCTCTACACTAGATAATGTTCCTAAACCTTCAATGCACGTACCACTGAATAGAACTCAAGCTCATAGGTAGTCCGTTTATTCCTCGCATCACTATATAACACAATTGGTCTGCCCTCTTGGGATAGAACAACACCAACTCCGACATCTGAGACATCACACTCAACCTCAAACAATTTCTTAAAGCTCGGCAATGCTAGAATAGGTGCATTGGACTATTTTTCTTTTATTAGCGCAACTTCTTCGCCACATTTAAATTTATCCTTCTTCATGCATTCTGTAATAGGAGCAACAATGCTGCTGAAATTTCTAATAAATCTCCGATAAAACGTTGCTAAACCATGAAAACTGCGCACATCGCCTACTATTTTTGGCGTGGGCCATTCTCGAATGGCCCGAACTTTTTCCTCATCAACCCGAATGCCTTCAGCACTCACCACAAAACCCAGAAACAGTAAACCGTTGGTCATAAAAGTGCACTTCTTCAGATTGATATACAACTTGTTTGCCTCCAAAACTGTCAGTACCTCCCTCAAGTGTGATCGATGCTCCATATTTGACTAACTATAAATCAGAATATCATCAAAATAGACAACAACGAATCTGCCAATAAAAGGTTTCAATACCTGATTCATAAGCCTTAAAAAAGTGCTTGGAGTATTAGACAACCCAAACGGCATCACTAACCATTCATACAGACCTTCCTTAGTCTTGAAAACAGTCTTCCATTCGTCCCCTGGTCGGATATGAATTTGGTGGTAGCCGCTTCATCAATTTTTGAAAAGAGTTTTGAACCAGCCAGCATATCCAACATATCATCTAACCGTGGAATAGGAAATATGTACTTGATGGTGATCTTGTTGATGGCTCTGCTGTCGATACACATACGCCAACTACCATCCTTCTTTGGTACTAACAAAGCTAGAACAGCACACGAACTCATACTCTCTCTCACCATACCCTTCTGAACCAACTCCTTCACTTGGTCCTGCAGAATCTGACACTCCTTTGGGCTCATGCGATAGTGCGGTAAATGCGGCAGACTAGCACCAGGCATAAGATCTATGTGGTGCTGAATATCTCACATAAGAGGTAGACCACTAGGCAACTTGTCTGGAATAATCTCCTAAAACTCTTCAAGTATGGGTTGTAACACTGTTGGAATAGTAAAAGGAGAATGAGACACCTTTTCTCCAACCACCTGCGCCAAAAGTTGTCCGGACTTCTTAGCCTCCTCCAAAAATTGCTACTCACTGCCGATTTAGAACTGATTTTCCCTTGGCTTGTGAAACCTTGGAAAAATCCCCTTTGGTCATAGGATCCAACACAATCTTCTGCCCTCCTTTATCAAACATGTGAACATTATCTCTGCCCTTATGAGTGGCGTTTACGTCACACTGCCATGGTCTGCCCAGAATCAAGTGACAAGCATTCATATCAACAACATCGCACAACGCCTCATCAATATACTTATTCCCAATAGAAAAGGAAACCCAGTAGATATCTGTAACCCTTATTTCTGCTCCTTTTTTAATCCAGCCAATTTTTTAAGGACTCGGATGCTTCTCTGTTTTCAGCCCTAACTTCTGGACCATTGACCTTGACACAGTATTCTCGCTACTGCCACTATCAATAATATCATCACAGACTTTCTTATTGACAGTGCACTATGTCCGGAATATATTGTGCCACTGTGGATACTCTTCCGTTTTCGGGGCAAGTAACAACCTTCGCACAACTAGAGAATATGAGAGTAGATCCCCCTTATCTTCTCCGGTCACCTCTTCCTTATCGTATAAAGGAAACCCTTCAGCATCTTCTCTATCTTGATCCTCCTCACCCCCAGGCTCTATTAAATTGACTGAGCGCCTTTAGGGACATTCATTAGATCGATGTCCTGGCTGCCCGCATCGATAACACTTAATGGGATTTGGACAACTGTAGGGATTATTTTTTAATGTATCCCGACTTGCTATGGGAGTTATTTCGGTCTTCTTTGGCTAAGTACTGGTGCTAGTTGAATCAGGTACTGCTGGAACGGAAGGTTGAGAATACATGGGTTGTTTTGCTTTGTTCGTCGCTGAACGCGTCAAATCAAAATAATTCCTGGAGCCAGCCGGTGTTTTCATCATTATGTTCATCTACCAACAGACCAGGAAAAGACAAGGCTCTGATACCAACTGACATAAGCGGAAGCGATAAATTTGTTCACATGAAACAATTTACTTTGAGTCCACAAAGTAGGTATTTTGAATCCATAAAACGAAGAGATAATCAAGAGAAACTTGATATATTATTGCTAATTGAATGAATAATTCTGATCTTTGTCTTACATATATTTATAATGAAAGAAAACCCTAATCCATAAGGAAACTAACTGCAACTTGAATCCATATAACATAAGGAAACCTAATCCCGAAAAGATACTAATACCCAAAAATAAGCCTAAAAATAGAGTTTCTCTAAAAATTCTGAAAAAATAAAGAAAGAAACCTAATAAAATAAAACTAGTAAATATAAAATATGAATGCAATTCGAGTTCATTTAAACAACGAACAAAAATTCCAAAATATTCGACAAGCTTCTTTCGGACCGAAAAACCCCGTTTTTAGGGTATTTCGCCGAAAAGCGCATTACATCATAGCATAGCTGTGTGTCTTGTTCATTGGGCCATTTCCAGTCAAAAAACTCTCTTGTCGGGTAAAAAACGCACATTTCGGGATCAGCCCAGAAAATTGTCAGCATGCCCGTTTGGCCCGAGCCATAGAGGCTTCAACAATCAGTTCTACATCAAGAGTTGATCTAGAATCTAGAAAACTTGAATCACTACCTGCTAGTTTGACTTTGATTGCTATAGGAAAATTGGAAGGGAAATTCCAAAAGTCATTCTATAAGTTCTACAAAGAACTTCCTTCTGGACTCCAAATATTTCCAAGATCAATGGACTAGATTATACAAGAATAGAGTAGTTAAATTTCGAGATTCATTAAGCAGTTGCTGAGAAACTTTGTTCTCTGGCTAAAATGGCACTGGCACTTCCATGTAAAAGTAAAAATCTGCCAAATCATCATAAAAATCCAATACCTCAAGTCTTCATTTCTCTATATTCCAATATATCAATTTAAGTATCACACAAGTCAGTTCCAATGTCTAAAACATATCTTGTTCTTTTCATCACTGATATCAAGAAATAGAATAGGAACAATAAACGGATTGAATGAGTTTAAACTAGACCCTTGTGATCCACTAATTCTAATAGATATTTTCCACTTAAAAGGAAACGAAAATCACGCATCATCTCCAAAGTTAGGAGTAATATTAACAGTGCCTGAAATATCAGCAGATGAACAATTTACCCCAAAGAGACAGGAACTATGCAACAGAAATTGTCTTCCTTATGATGAGCTACTGCTTTTAGTAATCCGATTCCAGAATATCACACTACTAGCAGTCTAACGCATGTCAAGAACTGCTCAGAATCATATCCATTTGCAACTTAAAAGGTAAGGCAATTTGACAATCCAATTCATTTTACTAATTTTCTCAGTCACAGCATTCATTATATTTCCCGATAGCTTACAAGAAAAGAAGACACTACAACCCAAATTTATACACATTACGGACTCGCTTATGTTTCTCAAGCACGAATCCTCCTCACACATTAATAATACAAGAGAAGAGAATTCAAAATGTTATTTCAAATCATCCAACATCGGTATTTTAATTGTTTAATAGTAAAGTTATCTTGTTAAAGAATATATTATTGATCTCAAATATCATGGCTGCCCCAAAAACACCTAAGCAAATCAGTAGTATCACAATGCAGACATCCCAACCATTAGATCTCCTTTTGAAAAACACAAAACGAGACACTCTTCATGACCTCCCCGAACTTATGTCGAGGACACGAACTCTGGACATTGTCAATGACCCAATACCCTTTTTATCTCAGATTTTTTTATTATTACAAGCCGATGAACAAACATATAATAAATTAAGATAATGTCACACTTTTGTGGCCCTCATATAATAAACAAAGTAAACCAAAATGATTGGTTAAAACTTAGAAGGACGACTCAGTAGTAGCAGAAAATGGTAGATTAGGGATCTTTCTTTTATGTAACCAAATGTAATTTTAATGAATCAACATATAACTTCATTCAAAGGTAAAGTAGAAAAACAATCAAATTAACTAAGAATTAAATCAAACCCATTGATCAAACACATACCCATCGAACACCAAGTGATCAAGAAGAGCAATCAATATCAGTATATTATAAAGATTATATATACACACAACTAACAATATCAAAACCAACATATCAGAAATATATATAATACAGAAATAACAATCTGAAAGAAAGTATATATATACCAGAAATTCTCTTGGAGAACACATCCCACCAATCTACAGAGCCCTCCTCTGAAGACCCAGAAGCAGACGCGTTGTGTTCAACCTTCTTCTCTATCTTCCTCTTCTTCTTGTACCCTCTTACAGGACCCATCACCACACAAAAACCCAATTGAATTGAAACCCAGAAACCCCACTAACTCTAAACAATCAGAATCAAAGAAACTTGGTTAGAATTCACAGAACAACACGAGATTGAAGAGCATGGTCACAACAAAGATCATGAGGCAAGTGTTGGAAGGAAAACATGCAAGAGGTCTTATGTGGAGACATATAGATGGTTGTGTTTGCAGTGTGTGTGTGTGTTTTGGGTGGGGGGTGTGTGTTTTTGTGGTGTTTGAAGCATGCAAAACGAGGAGTAAATGAAATTAGGAGGGATAGAGATGCTTTTCGGGTTAAGTGAGGAGAAATCTATGTAGAACATGTGGGTTGGTGTTGGTTTAAGACAATGTGGCCAGCCAAATGAGGAGAGATAGACATTAGTACTCGAGTCTCTCTCTCTCTACATGTTTTTAGATTTCAGAGCTTAGAGAGAGAGAAGTTCGAGCTTCATGTTTGCTTAAATTGTTTGGAAGTTCTCTTCTTTTCGCTTATATTATTATAAAAAGGACTTCAAAGGAAAAAATAAAATTAAAATAAGTAACAACGTTTTCGTTGCTCCGAGGTCTCTGAGTTTAACAAATTGAGGTCAAGCTGAACCGACTAATGAAATGACAATAATGCCATCAACTCTTTCATTAAGGTTTTCCTGGAAAAATGACTAACAAATGATACAAGAATGATTGATTATTCAGTTTATTTTAGAAATGTGGAAGTGAAATCTATTGACTAAGGAAGCAGTCTACATTTTTTAATTTCACATTATTGAGTGGCTTAGGATGTCAATTTGTGCCTTGTTTTGAATCGCGTAAATTTGTATGATCCATTTTTTTTTTTTTAGCGAATCATAGATCTGATTTTAAAACTTTCTTATGCCCCAATTATAACTATATTTAGAGTGTGGTATGAGAGACAACTTGTAATTCATCAACGTAAATTCATAAGAGCGTTTAGGGTTAGGAGTGTTATATGAGAGAACAATTGTAATATGTGACCATATAAACATATGTGACCATATAAATTTTTTTATTCTTGGTGCGATTTATGTTTACTTAGCAGTGTTTGTCGTGACTAGGAAACTTTAGAAAGAAATAGTAAAGTAGTTTATAATTTACGGCACAAAATATGATGGTCACTTTGTTTTTTGGGTTAAGTATAGATGTCATAATAAACGTCATAATAAATATTACAATACCACCTGCAATTTATAGTAAAAATATACCTTCCATATTTGATTTCAGTCCTTCACATTTTAATTTTAATAACTGAAATAATAAGTTTAATGTTCATCTCCTATATGAAGCCTATAATGTAGAGCGCTTAAATTTTTATGATTTATTTTCACTTTTGTGGAAAACTCTCTTGTACTCTAATATATAATTATATTTAGAGTGTGGTATGAGAGAGAACTTGTAATTCATGGACATAAATTCATAATAGTGTTTAGGGTTATGGGTGTGATATGAGAGAACACTTGTAATATGTGACCACAAATTTTTTTTTATTCTTGATGCGATTTATGTTTATTTTGCAATGTTTGTAGAAATAGTAAAGTAGTTAATAATTCACGGCATAAAATATGATGTTCACTTTGTTTTTTTTTTGGATAAGTATAGATGTCATGATAAATGTCATAATAAACATTACAATACCACCGTAATTATAGTAAAAATATACCTTCCATATTTGACTTCTGTCCTTCACATTTTAATTTTAATAACAGAAATAATAAGTTTAACTTTCATCTCCTATATGAAGCCTACAATGTAGAGTACTTAAGGTCAAATGTAAAGCGTCAATATTAGCTCTTTAAATGTCCAACACATTATTGTTAAAAAGGTAAAGATTCAAATGAATAAGTCAAAAAGAAATGTGAACTCTGGGTATGTTCTATACAAAACCTTCTTAAGGTTAACAATTTCATATTACATGCCTAATGAGTATAAAGATGAACATGCATGCTTAATTATGCATGTCATTTCATTAGAATTAGCAATTTAATTAAATTTATTTCTCAAAAGAATGTACTAATAGCGCAAATACAAGGTAGTTTTAATGGGGATGAAGCAAGTAAAATTCAAATTGATTGTATATTGAAATTATTGGTAATTTTGTTACAAGCCCGAACCAATGTGCAGCATTACTTGTGTACGTTTATGGACAAAAATACATGGACAAGAAAAATATTATAAAATGTTATAATTTCACACGTTAGTCTTGTATTTTTTTTTAAATTTATTTATTTAATTTTTTTTAGAGAGCACACGTATCAACTTTATAACACACACACCATTTAAGTTGAGTGCAATTCGAAAACGAAACTTTAAAACTTTTTAAATTTCAGCCACCGCTGCTGTGCCCTGTATTGCATCTCATCCTTTTATCCTCAGTGGTAAGTGGTACTATTTTGGATTTTACAAAACATATAAAATGTTCTACAGCTAATGAGACAGTGACACAAGTCGCCAGAACCTTTTTTGGTGCCCTTGCTTTAAAATAGTATAATTCGCAAATATGGGTAATAATTAAATACAAATTAGGTTGATAGCCCTTTCCTTAATCGCAGTTTAATAATTTATATAGATTTTTATAGGAGTACATTTGTTTATTTTTTTAATTTTGGGTAACTATAGTTGGTTTTTCAATAATTTTTTTTCCCTAGGCAGGTTTAACTACCTCAAACCCTCAACCGTTCCAAGCTTCTACTATATATAGGCAAAGAACATTTGGGGGAAAAAAAAAAAAAAACGGGAGATAAAGTTGTGTGAAAATTATTTACAAAGAACACATACATTTTTGCAAGATATCGGGATAATGACACTTCAGGAACATTGTTGGACATGTGCCCAACTCTTTAAGATTATGCTTATAATTTGAAAATAATATATATTATTTTGGATATTTATTCGACACATTTCGAAAATTTGATCAACACATTCTAAATACTTGACAAATACATTCTACATTATTCATCTTATATAAAATAAAAACAGAACAATTATAAAAATAATATTATGAACATACATCAAAGTGTCTAACTTCTTTTTCTTTTTCTATCTCTTTTTTAAAAAAAAAAAATTGACACTAAACATATTGGATAATGTAAAGAACAATAACATAACGAGTAGCTCCATCTTCTTATATAACTTTAATATAGAAATTATAAATTAATTAAAATTTTATAACTATTTTATTCAATAGATATATAAATAAAAATTTATATTATATTAGTGGTGTCCATGCTCTTATCGGTGGCTTACTTTTTTAGAATTTGATGTGTTGACATTTTAAATTCATAACATATCATGTCTTTGCCCATGCTACTTAAATTATATATTTTTGTTAAGGAAACACTAAATTAAATTCATTTACTCACAACATACTGAAATGTATTCAATTTATAAAATATAGGTAAAGTTGGTTTAGCAAAATAATCGTAATTATTATTATTATTATATAAATAAAGAATGGGAAATCTGATTTTTAGCAATATTTTTTAAAAAGTTTATTCCAAAGGAAACTAATTGTGTATTTATTAAGCTAATAAAAGCTTATCGGCCGTAAATCTCTTTGAGCATAAACATATTTAGATTTCATCTTGGAATTATGTTTGATCCCACAGATGGTTCTACACTCTATCATTTTCAGTTGGGTTGAATTTAATAATTTACGAGATAGTTATTAGGTTTTACCAACTTACCAAATACATAAATAAATATTTTGTTAAATTTTTTTCATCCATTAGCAATATAGAAATAAAAATTTACATAATCAACGAAGGGTCCAATTTTTTTTCCCCAAAAACCCCTTCAACTATCCAAGGGTTAACATAGTGGATGGGAGTGGATGAAAAATATTTTTGAGATGAAAATGCCTCTATTCCTATTATATAGAGAAAATTGTACAAAATCTTCCTCTATTTTGAATTTTTGGCAAGAAACCTTGTTAAACAAAAAAGTTCACTTAAATCCCCCCTTAACTATCCAATTTGTTGCAAAGTGATGTTATAATGACTAAAGTGCCCCTTAATATAAATATAATAAAATGTGCTCCTTCATATTAAATTAAAATTAATACAAACTCATTTTGCTGTATAAAAATTTGGATTTTTTTTTTAAATGGTGAGTCTATAAGAAAATAAAAATTTGGATTATTTGTTTATTTATTTAGTTTTTCTTTTCTTTTTATGATTTAAAATGAAAATACCTTAAAGCAATTTTCAATATTTTTATTTTTATTAATTTAGCTTCTTTTTTTTTTCTTTTTTTTTTTAAAAAATAAAAATTTAAGAAAATTTTAAAAATTATTTCAAGGTATTTTCATTTTCTTATAGACCCACAATTTAAAAAAATTAAATTTTGTATAACAACACTATACCAAATGAGTTTGTATTAATTTTAATTTAATATTAAGAAACACCATTTTATTAAATTTATATTAAGGGACAATTTGGTCATTATAACATCACTTTGTAACAAATTAGATAGTAGGGGGTTTTTGCGTGCACTTTTTTTCTTCAAGGTTTTTTTGCAAAAAATTCAAAGTAGAAAGGGGATTTAATTCAATTTGTTCTATATAATTGGAATAAGAGAATTTTTGTCTAAAAAATATAGGGAGTTTGCAGTTTGGTCTGAATTTATATTACTTCAATTATTGCCGCCGTAGTTTACCATGCAAACCCATTGTAATCTCTCCCAACTTTAGACTCATTCGCACCAATCTATTCTAACTCACACAGTCACTCAGAAGAAAGACTCATATTCCTACCTAACGAATTGTTACCGAATGTTTTTTCACTCCTAAACCAGAAATGAAATCTTTAGCTAGTTATAGACGTCCTAACTTTCTAAGTGCTCTTACAACTTTCCTTGCACATTTCTACAAATTTACAAAATTTTCTAAACTCTATAAATATCTACAAGTTACTCCATAATCTTTCAACTCTCTTTACATATTCCACACAAATGTGGAAGACTTTAACCACTTTTCAAATATGTTAACTAGTTACAAAATAAAAATTAAATTATTTGTTAAAATAATTATGAGATAGCGATGAGGTTTTAGAGATGTATTTCTAGTTGATTAGTTACAAAATACAAAATGAATAATTTGTTAAAAAAACTTTATCCATTTTTATTTTTGGTTCAAATGGATACATTTCAAAATATATGTCCTCTCGTTTCAAATTGAGATATAGAAATAAAAGTCAGTAATTTATATAATTAGAAAAAATAAAGATCATTACCAAGAACATTTCCTAGTACTCCAAATAATGGTTCCTAATTTCTACGATCAATTAATATTGAATTTACATTACTTAAATTATTGTCATTATCTCATGTTATTTTTTATTTTACTAAAACGGACAAGAATCAACTCCAGCTGCACAGTAATCAATTTCCTCCATTTTTGTAAGTAAAAGTATATCCCAACATTTTCGTAAGGTGCATTTCAACATTTTCCTATGCTGCATCCCAATATTTTCCTATTATGCATCCTAAACATGGGTGACGTGGCCATTTATAGACCACTCATTTCAAAATAAAGTAAATGACATATTATTTTTCTGGAGGTGATTTTTACCTTACTAAAACATGCATAATTTAGTTGTACTTTACCACTTGCTCATCCCAAAGTAAAGCCTAATAAAAAAAGAAAAAAAAAATTTGAAATAGGATCTGGGCTTTTAGCATAAATAAGGGCTTGCTTGTTTTATTTAAAATGGCTTGTCATTGAAAATCCAGAGTTACCAGAATTGGGCCCAAAAAAGTTGCGTAGGCCTGGTCTAGGATAAAGTATCAACAAAGTAACAGTATGGGCTTTTTAGTTTGCATAGAAAAAGGGAAAAAGATTGTTTGGGCTATTTGGATAAAGTTTAATGGTTCATAATTAAATTAACCAGCTTTCATATTTATTCTCTAATCACCTAATAGGGGGTAACAATGTAATTTCACACACATTTAAATAACGTTGGGTGTTGGTGATAGTTATTTTCAAAGAGTATCTCTATATGAGATTTGATCAAACTTAGAGTGTCAATGAAATTAACCAATATAAATATATCAATGATACATGCATGATTTGGGTTTAGCTCCTCTCTTCTTCTTCTTCTTCTTCTTCTTTTCCTGATGAATAAATGAGATGAAATGAAAAAAAAAATAAATAAATAAAAATTTGGTTTATCACCACTCTTTTTTTACTTGATAAATAAGTAAGATGAAAAAAGAAAAAAAAAAAATAAACCCCTCCGGCCAAAGACTAGTGGTAGGTGGTCCCTAGGAGCTTTCGGAGAGAAAAAAAAAAAGCCGCCAAATTTATAAGTATAAGCGGGGCATACCCCAGTGTGCAAAATAAAAAGCCCATAAGCTTATGAGCTAAAAAGAACACAAATAAAAGGTGGACGAAAGTAAGAAAGGCCCAATTACTCCATATTGTTCCAACCAATGAAGGCCCAAAATGAAACCAGGTAATGAACATCTAAAGCTTTTTATCACCACTTTTGAAAGATAGCTTCCAATTCTAAGTTACGCTGTGCTTGCATGTTTGATATTTATGGTTTTGTTTGTGTAATTTATATGCGTTTGTTTAACGATTAATGTTGACAGTAGAACATTTTTGTGATTTTGTTTGTAAGAAGTGAATGAATAGGCTAAAAAGAGAGCGCCCAAAGAGGAGACAGATCGAAGCCGCTTTCAGTGAAAATATATTGTCCATTGGGGGTCTTCTAAAATAAACAATTAAGACTAATGATACGCAGTCCGACTAAAATGGCCAAACTTTTGTCTGACTCCTCCGTGGCACAAGGACATGAATCACCTGCAGTGAGACTCCTGTACAGTTTCTTGTAATTTTTAAGTGGTTTATATTTGGCCATATCATTCTTCAACTAAGGAACACTAAGGCCGTATTTGGCCAATTATACTACTATTTATAAGTAACATTTCACTATCATTTATAAGTAACATCACATACTTTAAAAAGTAATGTCACATATAAATATAACTCAATTCAATATATCATTTATGTTATTATTTGAAATTAAAAGTGATGATATTTTTTTTTACAAATGGTGATGTTACTTTTTAGACTCTGTGATGTTACTTATAAATAGTGGTGAAATGTAAAAATAGTCTAAAAAATAACATCACCACTATTTATAAATAATATCACAGAAGTTTAAAAGTAATATCACATAGTCTAAAAAGTAACATCACCACGTTTTGAGAGTGAAAAATACTTATAAATGGTGGTGATGTTACTTTTTAGACTATTTATTTAATTATTTTATTTAATTATTATTATGTTCATTTATTTAATTAATTATTTTATTTAATTACACAATAAAGTGAATAAAGGAGGCCTATCATTTCTCATTACAAACATTTTATTTAATTATTTATTTTAGAAGACCCCAAGGGCGCGAATCATTTGCTGTGCAATTTCCATACTGTTTCCTACATTGATTAGAAAGTGGCCTTAGTTTGGCCACGTTTTATTCCACTTAATAGATACTAACACTGTGTTTGACAATTGCACCACTATTTATAGGTAACATTTCACCACCATTTTTAAGTAGAAGTCTAAAAGTAATATCACATAGTCTAAAAAGTAACATCACTACCATTTATAAGTATCTTTTACCCTCAAAACATGGTGATATTACTTTTTAGATTATGTGATATTACTTTTATATTTCTATAATGTTACTTATAAATGGTAGAGACGTTGCTTTTTAAACTATTTTTACATTTCACCATCATTTATAAGTAACATAACAAAGTCTAAAAAGTAATATTACCATTTGTAAAAAGAAATATCATCACTTTTAATTTCAAATAATAACATAAATGATATATTAAATTGATTTATGTTTATATGTGACATTACTTTTTAAATTATGTGATGTTACTTATAAATGGTGGCAAAATGTTACTTATAAATAGTAGTGTAATTGGCCAAATACAGCTTTTGTGTTCGTTAGTTAAAGAACGATATGGTCAAATATAAACCACTTAAAAATTACAGCAGGAAACTGTATGGGAGCTTCACTGCAGGTGATTCGCGCCTTGGAGTCTTCTAAAATAAATAATTAAATAAAATGTTTGTAATGAGAAATAATAGGCCTCCTTTATTCACTTTATTGTGTAATGTAGACCGCCTGCGCTTCCCAAAATCAAAATCTGCATTCCGAGCCGAATGTACAAGGACCCAATTCACCTCGTGAATCCAAGTGTTTCACATAGAACAAGGAATGGAACTATAAAATCCATATAGAATACTAATAGGACCTAGAGCTGTGGACAATTCTATTTACCTAGTGCAAGTGCTTTGCCGTTCAACATCCAATTTATGTACATTCAATTACTTTTTTATCCGAAAGATCTTGTGCAACGAGTCGTGGAAAACTATCGCTCGAGATGATTTTGTGTGGAATAGGCTCTTGTACGATAAGCCGTGAAAGAAACCATTGCTGAAAGAATTTTTGATTAGAGAACGTGCATAAAATAAGATATTGTGTGCGCCCGACGTACAATACACTAAATTCAGTTTGAGTGACTTATCATGAACTTGAATAAAACGATATACCATCACGCACCCAACAAAGAGGCATAACAAGAGAGAGAAAATCTAATCACAAAATTGTAAGCGAAGAGTTTTTTGAGATTCAAACCCACCCATTGAGGGGCCCTCGATGTATGTGCCTTGCCGTGCCACGACTTCCAAGTAATTAACTGCGCATATGTTTCTCAATTAATATCATCATCTCTTTCATTGAAAATTTCAGTCACAATTACAAATTAGTACAACCTAGGATAGGGCAAATACTTAAAAGTTTTATTAATCCCAATTTGACCTAATGTACTACGTACTAGTCTTATGGCTGGACCTCTATTCTTTTGCTACCTTGTTGACTACTATTACAAGAGATGTCACTGTTCATCATTTCCTTCTTGCTGGATCTTGTCTTGGGCTTCCTCGGTATGCATTTTGCTGTCGCTCCATCTTTTTCCTTCTCCATCACCTCCAATTGCGAGCTCCTGCATGCACATTATTAACTTATTATATTTATAAAAATATATTAAAATAAAATTGATTGAATAATTAAAACATTACGAAATGAAGAATGAACTGAGAGGTCAACTCATCGTCTATATGCAGTGACATTTAATGGAGCAATAATTGACAAGAGTGTGTGGCATGAATCTAACTTTTTCAGGTAGCTTTTTATGGTTGACATATCTACTCCAAATTGAATTCACAACTGCAAAATATCCATGTGGACCACCGCATGGTTCCAATTAATTGGACGGCCAACAGTTAATGTGATCATCTACTCCAAATTGTATATAATTGTGTGTGTGTGAGTGTGTGTGTGTATATATATATATATATATAGTAATAGTAGCATGCAAACCAAACAAGCTGTCCATGTGAGACGTACTGTATTCAAGTCAGATGAGATGCCTGTATGTAAACTCAGAAAAAACTGCGAGTAATATAGAAAAACAAAAACACGAAACCACTCACCTCTCTGCATTGTAAGAAGAAGATCTCTTTAAAGCTGGAATAAATTCCTCCTCCTTTGTCTCTATTAAGCTCCCACTGAAGTACTCTTTGTCTTCCAGCTCCACCCTCGGGTTTTCAATCACGCCCCGATTCGACCCGCTTCCACGTGGCAGCCTCGCCTTGTAGTGCGAAATCACCGAAAACCCATCATGCTCCTTCCCATTCCCATTCCCATTCCCATTACTGGGCCCACAGTCTCTGAACGACATCGAACCGCACGATATCAACTGCATCAGAACTGAAGAGGCCTTCATCTGTACAGTTGGATGATTATTGGCCGTTGGATCGTCGTCATTCACCCCTGTAGGGCATAGGACGACCCTACCGTCGGCTTTCATTAGCGATTCTAGGGTTTCGGGACTCGAATCGGACGGCGGGGGAGAGATCTCGTCTCTGCTCAGCTCCGTGCTTTGGTTCTGATACGATTCTTTGCTCTCCTCTTCCCTCTCGTTTTCTTCTATTTCTCTGATGCCTCGACGCCGGCGCCGTTTCTCTTCGGTCTGTGTCGACGCGTCGGCGGCGGACTCGCCGGTGTAGACTTTGTACTCTTGGAGATCGATCGCACTCCACGACTGGTTTCTCCGCCGCGTTACGGCAGGAAAATCTGAACCTTCGCCGGAGTTCCGTCTCTCCGGCGGTGGTTTAGTTGAACTCGAAGAGACGGTTTCATCAGAAGGCTTGGAGGAGATGGAATTGGCTTCAATGATCTCCGATCCTTTGAGCACGTACTCTTGACCGTGCGCTGGGTAGATGAAATCGTTTTCGGCAAGATCGTGCCACACAAATCCGCTCTTGTAACTCCTGTATCAAACACCAAAATCATCAACAAAACTGTACACAAGCATATAAAAATACACACACACATACACACACTAAATGTACCGTTTGGAAGACCAGGAATACATGCTTGCCATGCCTTTCCCTCGAAGGAAATTCAAGCGGTTGATTACATCTGAAAACAGAGACGATTCAGAGAGCGCATAAAGTATAAGCAAACAAAACAATACCTCCATTTTTTTTCTTCTTTAATTTTTTATGTGAAAATGCAGTTTTCTTGGTAACCAAACAGTACCTCTGAGATAGAGACCTTGGGAGGGAGAGGAAAGAGGGACTTCGATGAAGTGAGGGTGATCAAGCTGTCCATTTCTGGAGAGGTAGTAAAGGACAGGGACTAGTGCGGACTTGAGCTTATTGGGAGGTGTTTGTTGAGTCCAGACTTTGGTCCGTTCCGGACTCCATTCTCTCTCTTTCCATTTCTTCGAAATCTGAAGCTGCTCTGTTGTTCTTCCATTTCCTCTCGAACTCACCGCCTCCATTTTCTTGTAAAACAAAACTCTGCAAGTGAATGAATTTCAAATTTGTAATGTCTAATCTAACGTTTAAAAACTTCAATATTTCAATGTGATTTGAATTTTCGCTCACATATACATATAATATATATATATATAGAGAGAGAGAGAGAGTGTGTTGACGTTTTGGGTTGAGAAAAGGATTGGTGAGGCGGAGTGGGGAATAGGGAAGGGGAATAAGGAGGGAGGGTGTGGGCGGACGCAGAAATTCAAAATAGGATGCGGCAGACAACAGCTACCTTACAAAAACAAAAGTTGTTTAGATTTCAGTACACTGCCAACTCTTACTCTTAGTAACACTTTTGTTTGTTTACTTACTCCAAGTAGTATTAAATTCTATTTTTAATTATAATTTATTGCACTACACTAATGTTTTCACATTACATCTAGTTTTATGGCTTTAATGTGATTTAATTATTTGGTTGATTAAAGAAGTACATTTTGATTTCCTTAAAAACGACAAGAAGTCAAACAACTACAGTAGTATTCTACAAACACTAGGCTTTAGATGAGTTTTGTCCCATTGTCATGAAAGTCTAAAATATTGTAAAAAGTTTAATTGCGACCAGTTATTTTTTTTTTTGTCCCAAATATATGGAAAGTCAATTATGAAGTAATTTCATGCAAACAAATAGAGTGCCATTGCGGCATCCGTACCCAGTGGTTGCTTTCCATTCTAAACCTTCACTTCTCTAATATTTAATTGAACATTCTTTTTTCTGTAAAAATTTAAAAGTCAATATATGAAAAGTGAATTATGAAGTAATTTAATGAAAATAAATAATGCAAACAAATAGGATGAAATATTAACAGTTTCGTAGCCCAATAGGTTAATCACTGACTTAATTCTCATTTTTATTAAAAGTTCGACTTCAAATCTTCACACATTTAACATCTAATCTAACATTCAAGATCAATAATTTGTAAAATTATGATTAAGTGCCTTTGATTCAATTTTTTAGAAGCTGTCAAAAAATTTACTTACTATTAGGATTTAGTCTAAATGATATTTTCCTATTTTTTTTTAGTTGCATTGGCATGTTTTCCTTTTTCTTGAATGTTCAGTGATTAGCTCGAAACTACCCCAAAATAAGGAAGTAAGGCGGGATATTAATACAGTGACACAGACAAATTTATAATAAATAAATAAATAAAATAAAACATGAATATAGCATAGTTGTGTCAAAAAATAAAAACATTATTATTATATTGTATAAATAATGATTTGTACTCACCTCACCTAATTTATATTACCATAAATAAAATTAATATTTTGGAGTTTAGAGTAGATGTTAGTCCATTTTGTTTTCTAAATTTTATATTATTTTTAAAATTAGCCCTTAATTGACTTTAAAATGCGTTGAATTTCATTATTCTATTAAAAATATATACAATTTAAATGTGTCGTTGGTTTGTTTTAACAGGGAATAAAATATTTAAATTTTAAGAGACATTTACTTGTATTAACTATATCTGTGTGGGAGTGTTTATTACTGCTGTGACATTTTAGGATAAATATAGGATCAATCATTCTTCTTTTACTAATTAGTAGTGCGACTAACTCTCCATCGAAATGTTTATCCGAATTCTCCATTCCTAATTTGCAAAAAGAAAAGGGCAAAAAAAAAAAAAAAAAACCAAACCATCTAATCATCTACCTCTGAGATATACGTGAAGTTTAGAAATATCAATTGACGGATTGGACAACCCACAAAAGCTATGCAGACTTGGTTTTAGTGATGCAGTCAGATTGACCGGTACGAACACCACGAGACACTACTTACACTAAACCGCTCTTTTTACACATTAATGCAATTTAAGAATGCTTAATTCCAATTTGGAGTTCGACTATGATACTCCACAGTCCCAAAATAACACTGCTTCTGTCCCTTAAAAAATGTCATGCTTTCAATTTTTATCTTTTCCAAAATATTTGTCCACTTTTTTTTTTTTAAACAATATATTTTATATCTTTCCATATATGTGAGTTTAAAATTTCAAACAAACTTAGAAGAACAAATTAATAACTTTTCAGGTAAACAAGACATGTCCCACATGTTCCTTTAAAAATTCCTACTCCTCAAAAAGATCTAAATTGGAACAGAGGGAGTATTCAGTAATACTCCATAGTTTCAAAATAAATGTCAACGATTTTAATTTTATCCATTCAAAATAAGTGTCTGGTTTGAAAAGTTAATGTAATTATTTTTTATATTTATAATATTACTAATTTAATCTTCTAACATTCAACCTATAAAAAATAAAAACTAAATCATTTGGTCTACCCCGATTGAGCTAATTTTTAGAAATAGGGTTTTTGGTGTAATGACCCAAAAGATATCAAAATAAAAATAATAAAATATATAAAATTTGGCATGACCTCCGTAAAAAAATTCCTTCTATAACTTGTTAAAATACCAAAAAAAAAAAAAAAAGATGCAATGGCCTCACTGGGCCTTAAAAATAACATATCATGTCCCAACGCACAATACAGATATTATATCACATTTCCAAAATGACTACATACATACAAAAAGTCTCGTTCCTCCATCTCATCCAAACAAGGAATACACTTAAGTTACATCAAGTTACAGTCCATAAAATGTATCTAGAATTTAAAAGTCCATAACTTACAACATTGTACCAATTAAACTAAAGTTTCACAAAAATAGTTAAGATTACATTTACAAAATATTAGAATTCTAGTACAAAAGATAGCAAAAATAAAATAGATCCAAAATATTAGAATTCTAGTACAAAAGATAGCAAAAATAAAATAGATCCCCAAGCTCGTCTAAACTTGTAGTGGATCATCGTCCGCCACCTCTTCTCCATGTCCTGAAAAATGTTAAAAAAATAATGGGTGAGCATAAGCTCAATAGGAAATGTCTAAGACACACTTCTTATATCCTCGTGAATTCCACACAAGGAATGGATAAAAGGGACGGGGTCATATCATGGGGAATACGTATTCTCAACCATAACAACAAATATATAGCAAATGTCAACCAATCACAAATTTACTAAAATGTCATGAAGTGTAATGTTATGCAAATGTCGTTCCCCATTTTCGAAACAATTTCGTTTCAATAACCAAATCGTTAGTATAATCCGACCCAAGGCACCTTCAAAGCGTCACGAATGGAGGGTTAATTAACTATCCACGACCACAAGGCACTTCCAAGGCGTCGCATCTGGTCTAGTTAGCTCAACTATACTCCCTTAAAAATATGAACACATACGGACCACTAGGCGCCTCCTAGGTGTTCGGTTTTAGCAAACTCCTTTAAAAAATATTTTTTCCAAGAACAAATTCATTTATTTTAAAACATTTTTCCCCCTATTTCTTCCCCAATGAATGCATGAATGCTTCATACTTTATTTCATCAATTCAACCATAAAATTTCCACATACTTTTTCTAATAAATTACTAAAAATACACAACTCATATTCTCATCCCATATTTTGATGGCAATTTAAATATACAATTCACAAATTTATTTCTATAATTATAACATAAATTTTTATAGCAATTGAAATCATGAAAACAAACCAACACTAAGCATGATTTTTTATAAGTTAAAAATCATCGTACTAATAAGCTCAATTAACACATAACACATATTTATCACTATTAATATAAATAACCTTAACAAACATAATCACAAAAAATTAAAATTAAGCATGCTTAAAATCAAATTAAAGGGAAAAATTCACAAGAAATTCAAGAAATAGTGGATTATTAAATGAGAGAAAAATGTCCAATTTAAGCCTAATTTCGAAATCCCTAGGCTTGGCTAAATGGTGCTTGGCTCCTATCAAATTGACGACATCGACGAGCTCTCCAACTTTGCTTCACAAGGTTCTATCAAATTTCAAAGGGATAAAGTTAGATTAAGCTGAAAATGTGAAGAGAAAAAAAAGAAAAAAGAATGCTGAGAGAGAGAATCTATAGAGTGAAGAAACAGAATGCAAAATATGGGTTTGCAATGGCCGATTAGACATATAATGACTTAAAATATTAGTGGGCCACACTAATTAAAATAATTTCTTTTAACATTTTATATATATATATATATATATATATCACAAACATTACATTTAGACCCGCTTTGCCCATTCTCAATTTTTCAAATCTTTATCTTCCCATTTTCAAATCCTAAAATGAATGGGTCCATGATTAAATTAATTTCATTTTATCAAAATCCTTCAACATGGAGCCATTATGGGTAAATTGAATAATTCATTCAAAATATATATAATAAAAAACACTAAATGTCAACATTTTAAAAAGTCATATTCTAAAAAAGAAATATTTATTTTAAGACAGAGGTAGTTCTCTAACTGAAAGAGAAAAAAAAAAAAAGAGGAAAAATCAAACTTAAAACTAAATGGAAAATGATTCTTACACCGAAATATGTGAATTGGTAGGTCTATTTTTTAAATTGGCCAATTATGTAACAAATAAGAAAGTAGAGTCTTCTATTTAGTTGTATTTGATATAAATAGTCAATTAAAAATTATTTGGTTAGACAATTTAATGTAAGTGTTCGGTGTGACTTAATTGCTCATAGGTGACTATTTCAATTTTATTCTGTGCCATTCTCACTTTCGCCCCTTCTCCGCAAACCCCTCCCCCTATCTCTCCTCCTCCTCCAGCACCACCGCCACCAGCACCAGCACCAGCACCAGCACCACCAGCATACCCTCTTTTCTCCGCACATTATTTAAGCTTTATTAAATAATAAAATTATATATGCTGAAATACGTTGCGGGAAGAAAGATGAAGAATTCACAAAATAATTTATAACACGTTGAAGTTGAAATCCTATTAAACAATTTCCTTCCAACAGAAGAAACAATTTTTACTGCTTTTGTGGGTAGCTGTAGATTTTTGTTGGGCTTGTATTAATTTTTTTAATTTATTTTATTATCCTTTTTGTTGCATCGAATTAGATTAGATTAGAATTAGAACAAGCTGATCACATGCTTTTTGACTGGAAAGATAGGCCTTCCTAAATCCTAGTTCTGAGATCCATCCACTATTCAAAGATTGAAAAACTAATGAAAATAAAAAAAAGGCCTGAA